CTGATCCTGCGATTGTTTTGTTTGTTTCACATTAATTGATTTGTATAAGAGGTTACTTACTAGTAAAAAATGTATTCAGCGGCGAAGGAACAAGATCAATGAAAAGATGCGAGCACTACAGGAACTCATTCCCAACTGCAATAAGGTAATGAAACTGTCTTATTACCCAACCTCCAAAGTTTGTTTTATGCTTGTGCTTTTTTTAGTCTTCAAAATTTTAACCTATTGAATTTGGAGTTGATTCACAAAAAGTAAAACCAATTAATCTCACCTTAGTGTAATAAATGTTAAATATTGTTTTTTCATAATAGCAGGCACTATTTTTGTCAGTATAGATGATGGATAAATGCAGCTATCCTGAATCAATCATATGGGCTTTGGCTCTTCCAATTAATATGTGTGTTACTTCCTTTTAAATTCTAGACGGATAAAGCTTCAATACTCGATGAAGCTATTGTTTATTTGAAGACACTTCAACTTCAAGTGCAGGTAACATATGTTCTGGTCCATTGATTAACTTATTTATTCTGTGCTGCATAGACTTTTTTTTTTATCATCACCGTTTTATTCACCTCTTTAGATATTGTGTAAAACTTCCTATAATCGCAGTTGCATTGACAGTGAGTACCAACTTTATTGCAGATTATGTCGATGGGAACAGGTTTTTGCATGCCTCAAATGATGTACCCAGCGGGCATGCACGCTGCTCAGATGCAGCAGTTTCCCCTGATGGGCCTAGGAGTGGGAATCAATATGGGAATGATAATGGGTTTTGGCATGCGTATGCAAGCCATGAATGGTGGATCCCCAGTATGTTCCTCATCCTCAATTCCCCTTATGCAACAAGCACAAATGTCTTCAACACCATTTTCTGGTCCTAGTAGTTTCTTTCCAACATTTCGCCATTCACCTTCTGTAGATACAAGCAACATCTGAAGATCTATCACATCCTTCCTTGGCCCAGAAAAGGTGATCAACTACCTCATGATAGAGACAACGCATCCATTTACTTGAGGACCTCAACTGATGTGTCTGGCCGCAAAGCTGGTGAGTTTGTTTCTCAAATAGCCACTACTACTCTTTAGTATCTTAAGTGATTACGGAGCATCCTATTCGGGACAACATAGTAACGTTGTAGGGTTTTGTTTGGTCCTTCATTCCTTGGATATATGGGGATCAGTCCCATGTCGAATCCCATGAATGGGGACAAAATACATATGGATTTATGTCACTCAATCTTTAAGGTTAACATAGGGAGAGATGTTTCACTCTATCAGAGTGAACCAATGCTTCAGTTCACTAGATTCAAATTATCAAACACTTCTCGCATCGCCCCATTCATAAAGAAAGTGGCCAGCTCATTTAAAGCTGTATTTTCTATGCTTATGTGGGGATATAGCATGAGCAGGTGACCTAAAAAGAGCAACTTACATGTGCAGGTTCTGATTAGAAGAGGTCTACACTAAGAGCAAGAGACTGATTTTTGGTACTATAAAACCCCCTCAATCCTTCCTCCCGGCTTGGGATGGGGTGGGGGCAGCCATGAGTAGTTGTGCAACCATGCTGGAAGAATTAATTTGATGCACTCGGCGTGTTACTTTCGGTGAGAACACAATTGTGAACATGTGCACACGGCAGGTGCTAGGCTTGACCCAGGTCATTTAGTTCACGTGCTCTGGCGCCCCAATCGCAAAATGACGAAGTTCAATCTACGCGACACATTCATTTATGAATGAGCTAAAGAATTTTTTCTTGTGATAAGATTTGTGTATATTTGAATTATAAATAAACGGAGAAGGATTGCCGGAGATTTTTTTGGATTTCAAATTTGAATTTGAAATGAATGTACACAACCCTTATTTTGAATTCAAATTGGTGAAGTTTAAATATGAAGGGATATGACTCTAACGAAAGAAACATGACCATTCTTGAAAAGAAACAATCTTCTCTTATTGATAAATGATAAAGCACTTGGCCACAATGTGAAAGTGAGGAAAATTTTGAAAAGTAAACGGAGTATGTACACGATTAATTCATTTCCGCCCCAAATTAATACTCTCTCCCTCACAAAATAAGGTTCTTATTCAATTTATGATGTTTGGCTGAAGTTATATTCAAATCATAATAGGTAAAAATTGGTGTGCAAGTTTAAAATAAAAATTATATAATAAAAGTCTACATCAAAAGTTATACATAACAAGTGGTGACAAAATTATTTTATTTAATCAAATAGTCGATCAAAACTTATACATAAAGTAGAGTTAGTTTAACTACGAGTCTTTTTTGGGACGGAGGGAGTATAGTCATGTGACTTTGTTTCGTAGAATTCTTTATGTTATTTTTTATATGTATATTCTAAATTTTAATTTTGATCTAATTCTCAAATAAATTGTATTTAAAATAACTTCAGTTAACATCATAAAGCGAAGCAGATAATTTGTATTGGGATGGAGGGAGTATTAGTTATGATTTCATTGGTAGTGTCGAATAGTGAAGAAATAATATATTACTCCGTATTTATTTCTTCAAAGTTTGTTTTATGGTGATGAAATTTTAACTTGTGCTATATACGGGGCAGAGCAAAATTAATTATTTGCGATTCTACGTGGAATATTAAAATGACTTGATTTTTTATGAGGCATAATCATTTATACATAAAATATAAATGATCTAGGTTTAATAAGTTTTTACATATTTATAATTCTTCTTCCCGTAAAAATTTTAAAAAAATATTAAAACAAAAAATATTAGTGATCCTATGGTTCTTCTTCCCCATATTAATTTTAAAAAACTTAAATTGTTAACCTTATAATTCTCCAACTAAAAAAAATATGATTCTTCTCGCCACATTAATTAAGATTAACGAAAAAATGACCCCCCTTGGTATTGATTGCAAAAATTTAATGTTTTCTCCTGTATTATTAAAAAAATCAAAATTTTGGGGATCCTATGACTCTATGATTAAAAATATTAAAAATCAATGAGTCTTTCCCGCACATTAATTTTAAAAAAAAGTAATACAAAAATATTCACGCTTTATTGATTCTGAAAGGAAATGGAGAAATATTAATATATGACTCAAATATAGGAAAATAACCAAAATATGTCATAACAATTTTATCTCCAAATTAAGAATTCCAATAATGTCAACATAGAATATAAAAAGTTACCAGGAACTGCCTATATATAGTATTACATTATTGTAATGTGATAATACTATTTTGAAGAGAAAAATATGTTAATCATATTTTGATTAGGGATGGGCACGGTCCGTGATACTACCGGAACGTATCAAAGAATGTATTCAAAGAAAGTACACATTCTTCAAAATGAAGCTAACATTTAGACACAAATAAAGCATCTCAGACATGACAATAATTAAATTATTAGACAATTTATGTTTTACAAAATTGATTAAATATTCATCATGAATTTTAAAGCAAGATTTAAGTCTCTTTAAAAATGAACTCATTAAATAATTTTACACAATTTAAAGTTGAGTAGAATTAAATTAACTTTTTTTATTTTTTAGAATGAAAAATATAGTTACAAACTAAGATTTTTAGAATTCAGATCTTTCAAATGAAATCAAATTTTTAATTTTAAACATGGACATATATTTAATCTTAAGATCTAAATACAGAAAATTGATCACATTTTAAAAAATTAAACAAAAAGAAAAAATATTGTTGTCTACTTTTTGCTAGAGTGAATGCAATGTTGGACGCCTAGTCAGATGGAGTCTAAGAGACTAGTAGAGTGTCGGTGACATTTAATTAACAAAGGATAATTGTAGACGACTTGAACTACAATCTGACTTTTAATACTTTTACAATTATTGAGTCGCCAAATTTTAAAGATTGGTATTTTTACAGCAAGTAAATTGATCTCATCCAAATTTGACCTTAAGGCTTTTGCGATATACTACCTCCGTCCCAGAGTATTTGTCCACTTTCATTATTACACACCATCCAATACACTTCTTTAATCTATTTTATCTTGTAATTTGTATATTAAAAAATTGTAGAAATTATATATTAATAATCTATATGTTAAGACAAATCAAACAAGATCACACATGACTATATTTAGGCTTACACATTGAGAGAATTTGATGAGTCAAAGTGCTTAGATGAACAGTTCCAAAAGTCAAAACTGAACGAATACTCCGGGACGGAGGGAGTAATACATATAAAATTCGTAAATATGTTTGGGGTCAAAAATATGCGTATTAGAAATCACCCTAAATAGGACTAAAACATAGATAAAAGTACCAAAATAAGACTTTCATGTTTTTTTTCCGAAATAGGACTTTGCACTGTGGTAATGTGACTTTGCCATGTGGTAATGTGGCAGCGTACATGTGCAATAATGATATGCAAAAACCATTACATATACTGGTACATACCATTACATTCAGGATAAAGCCTTTATTTTTGTACCTTTAGGATAAAACCATATAAAAGTTACAAAATCAGAATGAAATCAGAAAGAGGGATACGCATAATATGCAAGCAGGGTAATTTTTAAACATAAGCCCTCATATTTTGCACATAGTGTGCATACCCTATATAATACGAATATTATAAACTAATAGAGTTTTTTTTCTATCTTTTATATTACTTTTTAGAGTAAATTCTATAATTGGTCTTTTATAACAGGGGGGTTTCCCTATTTAGTCCTCTATTATCAAATATTATCCAAGTGGTCCTTCTTTTATGGGTACCTTTCCACAAATAGTTCTTTTTTTGATCTTCTATCATGTTGGTGTTAATTTGAGGACTAAAAGTGTAATTTCACAATGATAATATATCTTTCTTGTCATACACAATTCCAAAGGCTGTTCCGTTTGCGTCGTTTGTAAAGTACATTTTCTTTTTACGACAACTATATGCTACAAATATGATCTTTCGTCAGAATCCTAGCCCACAATCATAGTCATTATTTTTGTGTTATCCGCTTAACCAATATCAGAACATGTCACTAGACATAATGTCGACGTCAAATTATACTTTTAGCCTTTAAATTAACACCAACACGGCAGAAGATATAAAAAAGGACCATTTGTGGAAAGGTCTCCTTAAAAAAGGACTACGGGGGTAATATTTGATAATAGAGGACTAAATATGGAAATCCCCCTGTTATAAAGGATTAATTATGGAATTTACTCTACTTTTAATTACACAATATTTTTTCTTAAACTCTCTCCAAAATCAAACCAAGAAAATTAGTTTGAGAGGGAAGGAGGGCAACTTTATGTTTTTGGAATTTTTAAGGGGGGTACTAATTGAATTGGGTCCACCCGGTTCTTGTATTCAATGATATGCGTCCAACACCTGTCCAAACTTATTCAACGCACACATGGCCCTCCTCAGTTCTCTCACTTCTCTGTGTTTTGTCTCATAGAGCATAGCTTTAACTGGTTCCTCCCCATTCAGATTTTAGCTTACTCCGTACAAAGATGCAGATCCAGAAGCCTTCATTTTTCAAGATCTTATTGGGCGACTTTGCCACTGCTCTCGTAAGTTTCTCAATCCCCCATTATAACTATTTCCTACCGATCTCCTCGAGAATTATGGCGGTGATTGCTTATAAATTAAATTAAATGTGTTACACACAGCGTTTGCCGCCGCTGTTTGTGGAGGTTTACGGGGAGAGGCTTTCGCCGACGGTGTCTCTCGCCACCGGCGCATCGCCGGAGAAATCATGGGCGGTGAAGGTCGAGAAGAGCGGCAGTCATTGGGTGTTGGGAGATGGTTGGTCGGATTTTGTGAAGGGGAACCGTTTGGAAGCAGGGGATTTCGCTGTTTTCTGGCTGATGGATAATCGGTCCACCTTTAAGGTCCGGCTCTATGACTGCACTTGCTGCGATAAGGAGCTTTCTTCCTCTTCTTCTTCGAGATTCTTCTCCCCTGGTGGATTTCCTGGTACAGGCATCGATCACCCTTTTCCCTTACAAATCTTGTTTGATTGAGGCCTCTCGGGTGGGGTTTGATTCGTGCTTCTTCGAATAATAGAATAATAAAACTCCTTCCGTCTTAAAATTAACTTCTCAGTTTGACTTTTGTAGTCAAACTTTTTAAACTTTGACCGTATATTACGTAAAAAATACATTGAATTTTCATATAAATTTATTAGCAATAGATTCATTTTGAGACATAGTTTTGAAATATTTAATTTTTATAAAATATATTTATATAAAAATTGAGATATTGATGGTCAAAGTGTCGCATTGGAAACCGTGAAAAGTCAAATGGAAAGTTAATTTTAGGACGATGGGAGTACTAACTATTTTCAACTTTTGACCTATAATTAAATAAAATTTATATTGTATTTTAAATGAATAAAATAATATTTTGAAAATATTTTATATAATTAATCTAATAAAACTATTTTTGTATCGATATCTAATATCATTTTTATTGAATTTGAAATCAAAGTTTGGCAATTTTGACCGAAAAAAGTTAAAAATGGATTAATACTCAGACGGTGGAGTAGGTTATTTAGGAAACAATTATAAGTTTTCTAACACGCGTAGAAACCAAACTAATAATAGATGCTGACTAATAAATAAATAATACCACGACTAATAATACCAAAAGTAGTGTTATTATTGTCTAACATATCTCCTCAAGCCTCCTCTCGCTGAAACAAGAGTAAGCTTGGACTTTATCTAGGAATTGGATACACTGTAAATGTGAAGGTTGATTGCCAACTTTAATTAAACTAGATAAACTTTGAACTGCAATTACTCTCAATTTATATTGCATATTAGCATAATGAAATACACTTTTTGAAAGTTCTCAATACGATAAATCTAATAAAGTCATTTTTATGTTTAAATATATTACAGTGTTTATTTAATTGAAGCTCAAATTTGTCCTATTTGACCCAAAAAAGTCAAACGAGAGAAATACACTGGAATGGAGGGAGTATATAGGAAGAAATCTTAATATAAGTAGACATCAACCTAACAATAGAAGCTAATTGATAAACAAACAATACCATAATTAATATTGCCATAAGTAATACTCCTTACGTTCCTTAAAAACTCTTATTGTTTTGACTTTTTTTGTCAAACAGTGACATTCTTTAATAATAAATTAACCATAATCTAAATAAATAAATATTATAAAAATTTGATATATCAAAACTATATCTTATGATGAACCCAATTACATTAAATTTATATTATAATTCAATATACTTTTCTCACAATTTGTAGTCAATGAGTCTCATTTTTTTACAATAAAAAGTCAAAATAGTAACAGTTTTCAGGGACGGATGGAGTATTATTATTGTTTATCAGTGCTCTTTCCTAAGGTAAGACTAATTTCTAAAACAAAGAAAAAGAAATGATGGAGTTGAAAGTCATTTTTAAAATTTTTAAAAAAATTTAAAAAAATTAAAACAGATTTAGCAAAAACAATATCAACTTTCATTTTGTCGCGCAAACGGACCATTCTAGTTAAAGAGCTATTAGAGCTTAACGGCGATCTAAAACTTGCAAATTTAAGTAAAATTAGGATTAGTAAGCATCATAGTAAGTGAGATTATTTTGAAAGATCGAATAAAATTTGGATCATTCTTGATAAGTTTTCCAATAAAAAAATCTTGGTACCTCTTATTTTGTAGAACTATTGATGTAGTTTTTAAATATATAAGTCTTATCTTTTGTTTTTATATCAATCTTTAAATAAAATAAATTAAAAAAATATAACATTTTATTCCATTTTGTGTAAAACATCAATCTTTTTGGGATGAGTAATACGGAGTAATAACAATTTGGATATTTGATTTGTTTCCTCTTATATGAATTTCAATCTAATTCCTTTATTTGTTTTGAAAGCCAATTTTTCTTTTTCTAAAACTTGAAAGTAATGATTTTTCATCTACCTTTTATTTATTGCAAATCACACCGCACTACATCGAGGAGAAACGCACTCCCAGAGCCAGTCGTACAGTCAATGGCAATGATGGCGCAAGTATATGAGGCTTATGAGCTGTTGACGGAGGTATCTAAAATTCTAAATGAACTTTAATGCGGAATTTAACCCACTTTATAAATTAATGAATTTTACATTTTGAGAACTACGAAGTATCTCATTTTCAAAATAAGATTCAAATTTGTTTTAAATTAAAAATAAATTTAAAATTATCTTTGACTGTTCGCATAACGTAATACTACCTCCGTCCCAAAAAGATTTACACATTTTGACTAAAGTTGAAATTAAGGGAGGAATAATTTTGTGTTGACTTTCCAAAAATACCTTTGATGTGATGGGTAAAAGTAGGATGTGATGTGTAGATTATTTGGAAAAAGGTATGATGTGATAGGTAGGGTTTGAAAAAGTAAGGGATAAAAGTGGTTTTTTAATAGAAATGGTTAGGAGATTGTGGGACGCAATTTTTTTTGAAAGGTGTAAATCTTTTTGGGACGGAGGGAGTATTAAATATTGTGCTTCACAGCAACGGAGTGTTTTTGATACTCGATTCGTCCCATAATGGATGCTACTCTCCGAACAACATACAAAACCTTACACTGTTTATTTTAAAAAATTGAAACAAAAATTAAAGTTTGAATTACATTATTCAAAAATACATGGACACTCAAAAGTACATGGAATCTGAAAGAAAACTAGGGAAAATAGAATAAATAGGAAGAAACTTGAAAAAACTACAAAGAATTTCAAAAATTTATTTAAGTTTATTTTTCATTTTATTCTTACTATAATTGTTATTGTTGTTGTTGTTGTTTTTAATAATATTATTATTATTGTTATTATTATTATGATTAATATATATTAATAACCTACCTACCTACCAATTTTTTTTACATTGATTTATTTTGAGCTAAACCATGGATCGGATCAACAGGTGAATGGGATGAAAGATCAACCAAAAATGATGTTAATGTGAATGTGAAGGAAGAAATCAAGACGGAAGATGAATCTGAAATGTCGTCGGATGGCCCATCCCTGGTCCACACTACCAACCTAAGCTTCACCGTCATCCTTCCCCCCTACCATGGTGAAGAAATGGTTAAAATGGTACACATCGGCCCTCTTGGTTTTGTTTTTATCAATATTATTTAGGATTTTGGACAATACAAAAGAGAAAAAGATCGTAAAGTACTTTGTAGAACGAAACCGGAGCAAACAGTTTAATTCCCAATCAGTATAGGACATATATCTATTCTCTTAACATAAAATTAAATTCATTGAGAAATTAAAATATAAAAAAAATAATTGCAATCCCTAAATAAGCTACCACCCCGATCTGTCGCCGCCACTGCCACCTTGCGACGACCCGCCACCGCAGCTATGGTCTGGCACTACATACAACTGTCATTGGATCATCGTGACCACGATGACCTACAATTGGCATTGCTGCAATGTTACATTAAAGGTCAATATATATTGTATCAAACAAAGGTATAATATAATGTCAAACATAACATATGATACCACACACAAAATGAATAATGATAAACATGTCAATATATAATGCTATCTAGACATGCAACTGTATAATGTCAAACAAAGGCATAACGCCAGACATGTTAACACATATTGTCATACATGTCAATGTGTAATCACAAACATGACAATGTATAATGTCACATCACACATGCGAATGATATGCATAATGTCAAAATATATATATTTGGACGCATTTGTTTTAAGTGTAATCTCCACAAAATGTTTGAATTGTCTTTTCTCTTTTCTTGACCACCCAGATAATGCCAAAGCGCTTCGTGGAAAAAACGGGGATTGCAATGAAGAGATATATACCCCTAAAGGATGAGACGGGAAGGACATGGCGGATCGAAATACATAAGAAACATGGCGAGTTTCTAATGCATGGGGAATGGGCGGATTTTTATGCAGCCAACAGGCTAGCCAAGGGGTATGTTTGTAGGTTTGAGCTTGTCGCCGGAAGTGGGGATGATCAACTCCTTCAGTTTCATGTGAAGAAAAAAACACGAGGAAGACCTGGGGGCCGCAAGATGAAGACTCGTAGTAGTTGCCAAGGCCTCGCTGCACCCAAAATGGTAAGTGCCTTCGTCGTTTGATTAGCTTATATTAGTATTGATTGTTTATTGTTTTAGTAGATGGACGGATGGGTCAGCTTTTCACAAACTTGGTCTTTGACAAGTTGTAGTGTTTTCCCTAACTAACACATACTCCCAAAAAAAACTTCTTAGTTTGACTTGGATTCAAATGAAAGAGTTAAATTATACTCCCTCCATTTCTTAAAACTCTTTCTCTTTCATTTTTTTTGTTTTTCTTAAAAAACATCCCTTTTCTATTAAAAAAACCACTTTTACCCCTACTTTTTCATACCCTACCTATCACATCATACTTTTTCACCAACAACTAAACTATCACATCTTACTTTTACCCATCACATCAAGGGCAAAATTGGATAGTCAACTACAATTTAACACTTTCTTATTTTCCCCCAATGTCAAAAGAGGAACTCTTTTGAGAAACGGAGGGAGTAGTTAACTTCCAATTTTGCCCCTGGGTAAAAGTAAGATGTGATGGATAGATTATTAGAAAAAAAATATGATGGGATAGGTAGGGTATGAAAAAGTAAGAAAAAAGTGGTTTTTAAATAGATAGTAGAAGTGTTTTGTTACAAGTGAAAAAAATTGATGAAAGAGGAAGTGTTTTTTTATAACGGAGGAAGTATCTATTAGGGCTCTATGCCAAATGAAAAAAGGGTCTCGTATAGATAAAATTTCACTTCCCGATAAATATATTGTGGTAACGCAGATAGAAAAAAAATCAAGCTATTCAATAATATGATAGGTAAATTATTAGTAAAAGGGTTTGATCTGATAGGTATGGTATGAAAAAGTAAGGGGTAAAAGGGGTTTTTTAAGGGAAAAGAGAATTTATTTGGAGACAAACAAAAAACGAAAGGGGAAGTTTATTTAGGGACGGAGAGAGTATGTATTTTTATTATACATTGATTTTCTTACCAAATTTGTTTATAAATATAGTTAATCATTAAAAAAAATCACCATAATAAAATTAGAGAAAAACAATATAAAATTAACATCTCCAATGGGTATTGTAGATTTTGGTAGTGTATATTGTATTTTACACTGCCAAAAGTGTTTTAGCATTCCATTTTTTTCATAGCTACTTAGAGCTGTCAATCGGGTCAACCGGATCAATTCCGAATTGGATTGTATTTGTTTGAATATCTTTCGAATATATGCTATAATCAATTCTGTTCGGAATGGTTTAATTTTGGTTAGAATTCGACTCGGTTCTATATATTTTCGGTTTCGAGTCGGTTCATATACGGTTTGGATATAAGTCGGCTTGGATAGAATTTGGATCGGATATATTTCGGTTTTGGTTCTAGTTCGGTTCGGATATATTTTAGTTTCAGATATGTTTTAGTTTGGTTATATTTTGATCGAATATATTTTGGATATATATTATTTTCTAATAAAAATTTAACTATCCATGTTTTTTTTATTTTATCACATTTATAAATCTATCATCAATTCAACACTTTTAATATTTTTTAAAATATACTATCTCCACCCTAAATAGTCTTTCTTTTTTGACTTTTTAGTCATATCTTACATACAAATTTGGACTACAAATTATGAAAAAATATAAATTTAATTATGATATAAAAGTAATTTAATTAAATTGATTTTAAAATCTAGTTTTGATATATTAAATTTTTATCTAGTTTAAAAATTATTTTTGTATTTTAAAATTATTTTTGTATTTTAAAATCTAGTTTAAACTTTAAAATCTAGTTTAAAAATTTGTATTTTTAAACATGGACATATATTTAATCTTAAGAGCTAAATACAAAAAATTGATCACATTTTAAAAAATTAAACAAATAGAGAATTAAAATGTTGTCTAATTTTTGGTGACATTTAATTAATAAAGGATAATTGTAGACGATTTGAACTACGATCTGACTTTTAATACTTTTACAATTATTGAGTCGTCAAATTTTAAAGATTTGTATTTTTATAGCAAGTAAATTGATCTCATCCAAATTTGACCTTAAGGATTTTGCAATATAATACACATAAAATTCATAAATATGTTTGGGATCAAAAATACGTGTATTATACGTTCGTCACATTAAAAATTTGTATTCGAGAGTATAATACGTGTATCACACTTACGGGTATATAACACGAATATCATACAAATAAACTAACAGAGTTTCTCTCTCTCTTTTACATTACTTTTAAAGAAAACCCTCTAAATAGGAGTAAAATATGTGTTATATCCTCAAAGTAGGAGTTCAAATTTAAACTCCTCTAAGTATGAGTAATTAACTATTTTTATTGTACAATTGTTTAGCCGCCGCCCGCCGGGAGAAGAAAGAGTGGACACGGTGTCCAACGGACTAACTCCATTGCTCCATCTCTCACTCTATTAAATGCGCCTTCCACTTCATTCTCCAAAAGGTGAAATCGCGCGCTCACCCTGGGCGCCCCTCACCTCCGACCCGACGGGAATATGAGAGGAGGTAAATCACGGTGACCCAAGCACACACACTTAGCTAGACCATATCCTAGTGCGCACCAGAGACTCTCCTCATTTTTTAGAGGTGGTCGCCTCCACAACGGTCGCTGCCAGATTTTGATCTTTGGTCATTCTCCAAACTTCACCAAGTGTTTGACACTTGGGCTACCCGTGCGGGTGCGCCTTCCACTTCATAAAATTGTTTTAGGTGCCCTTCAATGAATTTAATTTTGTAGTACTCCCCCCGTTTCTTAAAACCCTTCTTCTTTTATTTTTTTGTTTTTCTTAAAACACTTCCCTTTTCTATTAAAAAACCACTTTTACCCATACATTTTCATACCCTACGTATCACATCATACTTTTTCACTAACAATTAAACTATCACATCTTACTTTTACCCATCACATCAAGGTTAAAATTGGAAAGTCAACTACAATTTAACACTTCTTTATTTTTCTCCAAAGTCAAAAGAGGAACCCTTTTGAGAAACGGAGGGAGTATTATTTATAGTTTGGAAAATTTATCTTACAATAATCTCACCTCCCAACTTTAATACCTTTTTCAAAAATAATTTAAATAATACGTGTACAACTTATACTCCCAGCCCACACTTTTCCTGTGCCTTAGGATTTTTTTTGACATAGAGCTAACAATGGAGAGATTGTGTGTTTGTTTATTTTAATTGTTTAATAGAGAAAAGTCTAATTATGGCGACTTTTGATGGGCGTTTTTGAAGTGGGATTGGGCTGAATGGCTGATTTCTTATTCCCCATAAGAAAAGCCCCTGCCGATAAAAATAATCGGAAAGAATTTGTCTTCTTCCCATAATTAATGACTTCGTGAGCTCGATGCATGCACATGTATCACCAAGTACAATTAAACTTTTGGCATTTTGCAGAGCCACGCTTGTCACTGTGCATTGACATCTTTGGTATTTTATTTTCGATTGATCTAAAATTTTGTATTTTTGCATTTTACATTGTCATGTTTGTCACTGTATGTTGTCATTTTTAGCATTGTATTTTTGATTGACACTATGTGAATTATTTTTTCTCCATGTAGCACCATGGCACTACGCCTGTGGGGATTAGTGATGCCGACAACGTGCGACGATAACAGGAGCAAGGGGTGATGAAAGTGGCATATCCTGGCGGCGGCAAACGGTCAGTCAACAACTCCTATTTTGGGTATTTTATGTTTTCACTTCTATTTTGGATTTTAATCAATGTTTTACTCCTATTTTGATCCTTAAATTTTATTTAATTATAAGTCAAAAGTTGAAAATAATTATTATTATTATTCTATTATTCGAAGAAGCACGAATCAAACCCCACCCGAGAGGCCTCAATCAAACAAGATTTGTAAGGGAAAAGGGTGATCGATGCCTGTACCAGGAAATCCACCAGGGGAGAAGAATCTCGAAGAAGAAGAGGAAGAAAGCTCCTTATCGCAGCAAGTGCAGTCATAGAGCCGGACCTTAAAGGTGGACCGATTATCCATCAGCCAGAAAACAGCGAAATCCCCTGCTTCCAAACGGTTCCCCTTCACAAAATCCGACCAACCATCTCCCAACACCCAATGACTGCCGCTCTTCTCGACCTTCACCGCCCATGATTTCTCCGGCGATGCGCCGGTGGCGAGAGACACCGTCGGCGAAAGCCTCTCCCCGTAAACCTCCACAAACAGCGGCGGCAAACGCTGTGTGTAACACATTTAATTTAATTTATAAGCAATCACCGCCATAATTCTCGAGGAGATCGGTAGGAAATAGTTATAATGGGGGATTGAGAAACTTACGAGAGCAGTGGCAAAGTCGCCCAATAAGATCTTGAAAAATGAAGGCTTCTGGATCTGCATCTTTGTACGGAGTAAGCTAAAATCTGAATGGGGAGGAACCAGTTAAAGCTATGCTCTATGAGACAAAACACAGAGAAGTGAGAGAACTGAGGAGGGCCATGTGTGCGTTGAATAAGTTTGGACAGGTGTTGGACGCATATCATTGAATACAAGAACCGGGTGGACCCAATTCAATTAGTACCCCCCTTAAAAATTCCAAAAACATAAAGTTGCCCTCCTTCCCTCTCAAACTAATTTTCTTGGTTTGATTTTGGAGAGAGTTTAAGAAAAAATATTGTGTAATTAAAAGTAGAGTAAATTCCATAATTAATCCTTTATAACAGGGGGATTTCCATATTTAGTCCTCTATTATCAAATATTACCCCCGTAGTCCTTTTTTAAGGAGACCTTTCCACAAATGGTCCTTTTTTATATCTTCTGCCGTGTTGGTGTTAATTTAAAGGCTAAAAGTATAATTTGACGTCGACATTATGTCTAGTGACATGTTCTGATATTGGTTAAGCGGATAACACAAAAATAATGACTATGATTGTGGGCTAGGATTCTGACGAAAGATCATATTTGTAGCATATAGTTGTCGTAAAAAGAAAATGTACTTTACAAACGACGCAAACGGAACAGCCTTTGGAATTGTGTATGACAAGAAAGATATATTATCATTGTGAAATTACACTTTTAGTCCTCAAATTAACACCAACATGATAGAAGATCAAAAAAAGAACTATTTGTGGAAAGGTACCCATAAAAGAAGGACCACTTGGATAATATTTGATAATAGAGGACTAAATAGGGAAACCCCCCTGTTATAAAAGACCAATTATAGAATTTACTCTAAAAAGTAATATAAAAGATAGAAAAAAAACTCTATTAGTTTATAATATTCGTATTATATAGGGTATGCACACTATGTGCAAAATATGAGGGCTTATGTTTAAAAATTACCCTGCTTGCATATTATGCGTATCCCTCTTTCTGATTTCATTCTGATTTTGTAACTTTTATATGGTTTTATCCTAAAGGTACAAAAATAAAGGCTTTATCCTGAATGTAATGGTATGTACCAGTATATGTAATGGTTTTTGCATATCATTAGGTCATATACATTACCAAAATTTATGTAACACATTTAATTTAATTTATAAGCAATCATCAGCGCCATTGTTCTGTGAAGGGGAAGTTAATTGATAAAATTTAATTTAATTGATAAAATTTGATCTCATAATAAATCAAATAAAACTAAATTTTGTATCAATATTTAGGATCATTTTTATTTATCTGGATCAAATTTTATCAATTTTGACCAAAAAATCAAAAATGAAGAAATACTCGGGAAAGAGGGAGTATATAATTATAGGGTCGGTAATTTAGGTTTTTAAATTAATGTGAGGAAAAATTATAGATTTGTAGAAATACATCAAACCTAGATAATTAATTTTTGACCTTTAAATAATATGCCAAATAAAAATCAAAATCCACATTATAGAATAGAAAATTTTTTTGTCCAAACCCGTGCGTGGCACGGGTAGAAATATTAGTATAATAAAAGATAGATGTATTCTTGGAAGATATTGACACTGTAAATAGCTAAATTCTCATAAAAGAGAAAGGAGTGATATATTTGTAATACTGAGTAACTTAGAGTGCTACGTAGGGTGATTTGTTTATATAGTTTAAACGTTGTATATAGTCGAGAACAAATATCAATAAAAGCATTATTTACTTCTTTTTCATCTTGCATTTCAACAATTCTCCCTCTTTCTAATTAAACTCGTTCTCAACATATTCGTATAAGCAATTCTCATCCTTTGCTCTTATTTCTGTTGCTTAGATACTCGGAATGATCATCTCAATTCTTATATTACACCTAGGTTTGGGTTGGGAAAACCAAAAACTGTAAACCGAATCGAAAAAACCAAAATCGGATTTTTAAAAAATTGAATCGTTATTGTTTGGTTTTTGTTTTAATTTTTACTTTGGAAACAAAATAAACCAAGCTTTCTTAATTACTCCACTTTATTTATATGAGTATATGTGATAAGTAAAAAGTCATAGAAATATAAATGTAAATAATTGACTAGCAAATTATAAGTTATTTTCTTAATTATTAATTAAATATTTTAAATCATCTTATAAACTTCAAAAAACCTTACAATATAAACATCAACAACTAATTCTAATACAAACTTATATACATAAAAAATTGATACGAGTAATTTACATATTTACATTAAAAAAGATTGATGTTATAATGGATATGAATTTATTATACCAAAAAACACAAATTCTCCGTAATTGATATTTACATACGATGTCTTTGGTAGTATATGGATCTCCTAAAGGTTTGTTGGGCATTCGACACATTTTTTATGTAAAATTGAACCAAATAAAATATTAACTTTTTGTTCGATTTTGGTTTTGTGTAAAAAACAAACTAAAAACCGAAGCCAACCCTACATATTGCTTCATTGAGTTAGTATTTTTATTATTGTTTAATGCTTCTAAATTTTTACTTTTATAAATCGAAAAACAAAAAAAAATAAAAATTGCATAAAACAAACTGAATAACCAAAGGTTTACATATTTTTCATGTAAAACCGAATCGAACCGCCAATTTACCTTCCGTTTTGGGTAAAAACCGAACCGCCAAAACCAAGTCCACCCCTAATTACAACAATGGTATCAAAGCTCCCTATTCAATAAACCAGCAAGAAAAGATCAAGGTAAGCAACCAACATAGCTAGGCTCGTCCAGAAATGTTGAAAAACGAGATGGGCCTGTAAGTTCGTGGGAGTGCAGCGGAAATCACCAATTGAAAGCTACGCAAAGAGATCAAACAACTAGGTTGTAGAAAAGATACTGTAGCACTGTCATAGTAACAGATGACAGACAGAGTGCTATAATATCTTCTTTGTCACAAGCACACACGTAGAATATAAAGTAAAAGCAGTAAATAGTACACGAGAACTGTTTACACAGTTCAGGGCAACTCTCCTACGTCTGCGGGGCCATGTCCGTGTAACAATCCTTCCACTAAATCACCGTAAGAATTACACAATCAATCACAAGAGAACCTTCTAATGTATTGATTTGTCTACTTACGAATGACTTGATGACAAACTCTGTTTGCGTCTATCTCCACGGCTTGTTACACCTTCTCAAACATCTTCTTCAAGGACGACGTAGATTCCAGTACACCTTCAAACAATGATTCTGCCTTTCTCTACAAAAATATGCACGCGGTTCCGAGGCTCATAAATCAAGATTCACCCGTTGGATCAAATTCGTGCAGGCTGTCCAAAAAAATCTGCACCTTCTTGTTTTTCTTTTGATCGGACTTTCTTTTGTTTTTTTTTGTATTTTCGCACACCAAAACCATAAGGGAGGGAAAAGATAATATATGGAATATAATAACCCTGTTAGAGTGTACTTAGTAGTCTCAACCATGGCATCCCCCTCAAAAATAGTAAACGAAGTAGATTCTTTCTTCAAACTCTTTCCTCTTTCTTTTTCTCTTTCTTCATATGCTAGGTCTCTAAGTCTAAATAAAACATCTAAAATAATTCTATGCAAATCTATTCGTTTGTCAAAAAATAATGCCAACACAATATGAAACTAACAGGCCTTGTGTCAAAATTACGTGTTCGGTCCTATTTTATTTTTTGTACAGTACTTAGTATTTTAAAAATAGTTCTAAATTTGATTTTTAATAGAGTAAATTCTCAAGATGGTACTCAATAACTGTGTTTTCCGAAAGTAGTCCCTAAGATGAACTAATCGCCAGGAAGATACTCATTAATTGAAAATAATGATTGTCTAGTGTCTCCGACTAAAGACCATCAAAATAGAGTCAAAACGACATTAAAACCAATATTTATTTTGCAAAATGATCATTTCTAATGATTTTTTTTCAAATTACTCAATTTTCAAAATTAAATCTTATAAAAAATGACTTTCCGTCTTCGCTCAAACACCGTGAATCAATTTAAAGGGAAGAATCATGTTTCAGTTTTTCATATTAAATGAGTTTTTACATCGAAAATAGACTAATTTGAAAAATATCCAATTATATATGATCAATTTGGAAAATTAGGATAAGTTTTAATACCGCTTTGATGCTGTTTTGACGACCGTTAGTCGTGAGGACTAAACTGTGCATTATTTTCAACTACCAAGTACCATCTCGATAATTAGTCCATTTCGATAATTTTCAACTACCAAGTACTCTCTCTGTCACATTTTAAATTGTCTGTTTGCCTTTTTTCTTCGTCCCAAAATAAGTTACTTGTTACTTATTATCGTAAACTTTTAAGAGTAAAGTACTTAAACTACCCCTAAAATAAGTCACTCTTCTCCACCTTATGTTGTCATTCATCGTCACCCCTCCTAAAAAGTAATGGCTTTTTCGAAAAATCAATTCTATTTTTTCATTTACTTAAATATGCCCAAAAGTCAAAACATACGATTTAAAACGGAACGGATGAAGTACTATTTTGGAAATTTACTCTTTTAAATAACTTTTTTTAAAAAAGTTGAATAATAACACATAAGTTTATATTAAATTTAAAAGTATCAACTAATTAAAATAATAAATATGTAACAATATAATATTGAGCCCTAAAAATTTGGAGATCCTGTGCAGGTGGCCACTCGCAGACTCTCCAGACCACCATGATTTAGGTGGATGACCCAATCAAAGTCTACAAGAAGCTATTTAGATGCAATTACAACTACAAAAAGATTCCAATGAATGACAAGAAGATCAAGCTATAAGCATCATGTTCTTGATCCAATTCGCGACCAATTTGGGAAATTAATGTAGTCTAGTTACTTCTTGTTTTATGAAACTTTTAATATAATTTTAAATATGTAAATTTTATTTTTAATTCCTTATCAATTTTCAAATAAATTAAATTGAAAATATTTCCTCTCAAATCTTGTAGACAGCAACAGATGATGTTTTGGGGGACGGAGAATATATAACAATACTGTCAATGCAATAAATCATTAAATCTACATCTGCACAAAGCAACTAAAACTAGTACATTTTGATTTTCTTAAAGAAGACCAGGGTCAATCAATACCTGTGTTAAAAAAGTGGTCAATATCAAGGCTAATTACAATACATAGAGACATGGCCTATTTCCCTTCTCATACATTCCTTTCCTTTTTTTTATCTAATGTAAACCATCTTAGTGTACATATACTCCCTTTCTCCTGATTTAATTATCCACATTTCATATTCAATAAAGAAATTAAGATGAATTGTCTGAAATATCCAAAAGATAAGAGTACGAATGTGTAACGAACTCAATTGAACGACTTTTTCGACATTTGAAAAATGATTTTTTTAAAAAATGGACAAATAAACTCGGACAGAGGGAGTATATAGATATATAGATATGTACAAGAGCCGCGTGTCGAACAAGACCCATCATCATTAAGGTGAGATGGAACTTGCATCG